TCTTGATTTACTGTCGCCCTCTGTGACGGTCTACAACTCACTACTCCCTTTCAATTGACCCCCTCCGACCAGCTTGAGCTGCTGTTCTTCCCCACCCGTCGTAGTCATGATGCCTCACGACAGCTCCTGGGCAACGTCGCCCGGAGCCGCACTGCTGCCGTCGGCAGCACTGGTCTGCGCCGCAGCATGGCCACTGTATCTGATTCCCCCCTCGACCGCAAGGTATGTTCGCGATCAAGCATGCGTTGTTAGCGTGGCGTGCAGTGTTGACAGTCTAGCAGGTCAAGCAAAACAACTGGGAAGACAATAACTTCATCAACTACAAGAAGATGTCTGAGAACCTCGCAATTGTGCGAAGCCGTCTTAACAGGCCTTTGACCTATGCCGAAAAGATTCTCTACTCTCACCTCGACAACCCTCACGAGCAGGACATCCAGCGCGGCTCCTCTTACCTGAAGCTGCGCCCTGACCGCGTCGCGTGTCAGGATGCCACTGCGCAGATGGCCATTCTCCAGTTCATGTCCGCCGGCATGCCTTCCGTCGCCAACCCCACCACTGTGCACTGCGATCACTTGATTGAGGCACAGATTGGAGGCGCCAAGGATCTTGAGCGCGCCGTCAACATCAACAAGGAAGTATACGACTTCCTTGCCTCCGCCTGCGCCAAGTACAACATCGGCTTCTGGAAGCCCGGTTCCGGTATCATCCACCAGATTCTTCTTGAGAACTACGCTTTCCCTGGTGGTCTCTTGATCGGTACTGATTCGCACACTCCCAACGTGGTGGTCTCGGCATGGCTGCCATCGGTGTCGGAGGTGCCGATGCCGTCGATGTCATGGCCAATCTCCCCTGGGAGCTGAAGGCACCCAACGTCATTGGTGTCAAGCTCACTGGCGAGCTGTCCGGCTGGACTTCTCCGAAAGTCAGTCAATGCGCCCCCCCCCTCGAATCCAATCATCTGCCATTCATGTTAGCGCATGGGGCGGGACTTGGCACATTGCTGTGCATAATCCCCTGTCTTGTCGGTACTACAACGACGCATCGCTAGAAGGTCAACCGTTGCACAAGACAGCCTATCAGGCGGATCACTTTCTCCTCTGAGAGAATTTCATGACACTAACATGGCTCACAGACATCATTCTCAAGCTCGCTGGCATCTTGACTGTCAAGGGCGGCACCGGTGCCATTGTCGAGTACTTCGGTAAGCTTCATCCCTCACGAGACGACCAGATTTAGTAAGAGAGAACTTGGCTGACTTCATCTTCACGCAGGCCCTGGTACCAACACCATTTCCGCCACCGGCATGGCGACCTGCTGCAACATGGGAGGTACGTTCACTTGCATAAGCTTCAATCCAGGTGCCTGAATAGTCATCTAACAACCTGTAGCTGAGATTGGCGCGACGACGTCCGTCTTCCCTTTCAACGACCGCATGTACGATTACCTGGCAGCCACCAAGCGCAAGGATATTGGTGACTTCGCTCGCACCTATGCTCACGAGCTCAAGGAGGATGAGGGTGCTCAGTATGATCAGCTGATCGAGATCAATCTGTCTGAGCTCGAGCCCCACATCAACGGACCTTTCACCCCGGATCTGGCCACCCCCATCTCCAAGTTTGCTGAGGCTGCCAAGGCCAACAACTGGCCTGAGGAGCTCAAGGTCGGTCTCATCGGTTCTTGCACCAACTCCTCTTATGAGGACATGTCCCGTGCTGCTGCCATCGCCCGTGACGCTCTCAACCACGGCATCAAGGCCAAGGCTGCTTTCACTGTCACTCCTGGTTCCGAGCAGATCCGCGCTACTATTGAGCGTGATGGTCAGCTCCAGACTTTCGAGGAATTCGGCGGCATGGTCCTTGCCAACGCTTGTGGTCCCTGCATTGGCCAGTGGGATCGTCAGGACGTGAAGAAGGGCGAGGCCAACTCCATTATCTCGTCTTACAACCGCAACTTCACCGGTCGCAACGACGGCAACCCTGCCACCCACTCTTTCGTCACCTCGCCTGACCTGGTTGTCGCCATGACCATTGCCGGTAGCCTGCACTTCAACCCCCTTACAGACACTCTCAAGGATAAGGACGGCAAGGAGTTCAAGCTGTCTCCCCCTACTGGTGACGGTCTTCCCCAGCGTGGTTACGATCCCGGACAAGACACCTACCAGGCCCCTCCCCAGGACCGTGCCTCTGTCAACGTCCAGGTCTCCCCCACCTCTGACCGTCTCCAGGTTCTTGAGCCCTTCACGCCTTGGGATGGCAAGGATGCCACTGATCTCCCCATTCTCATCAAGGCCCAGGGCAAGACCACCACTGACCACATTTCCATGGCTGGCCCCTGGTTGAAGTACCGTGGCCACCTGGACAACATTTCCAACAACATGTTGATCGGCGCCATTAACGAAGCCAATGGCGAGGCCAACAAGATCAAGAACTTCACCACAGGCGAGTTTGGTGCCGTTCCTGCTGTTGCCCGTGACTACAAGGCCAAGGGCATCAAATGGGTTGTCGTTGGCGACTGGAACTACGGCGAGGGTAGCTCTCGCGAGCACGCTGCTCTTGAGCCCAGGCACCTTGGAGGACTGGCTATCATCACCCGCAGCTTCGCCCGTATCCACGAGACCAACCTGAAGAAGCAGGGCATGCTTCCTCTTACCTTCGCCGACCCTGCCGATTACGACAAGATTAAGCCTGATGACAAGGTACGTTTGCGCATCACCCAATGTACTTTCTAATGCGGTTTGCTAACCACTCTGAAAAGGTTGACATCCTTTGCACCAACATTGCTGTCGGTCAGCCTATGACGATGGTCGTGCACCCCAAGGACGGCGCGGCCTACGAAGTCAAGCTGCTGCACACTTACAACGAGCCCCAGATTGAATGGTTCAAGAACGGCAGCGCCCTCAACACCATGGCTAAGGCTGCCAAGGCGTAAAATACCTGTGTATGGGAGAAGCAGGCAGGGCAGGGTGTCCGAGATGATGATTATTATCGCGTTTGTTCACGGCGCAAATACCTACATGCATGCTTTGGGGTGCCGGTTTGGACTGAAGTTCGGATTAGGAGGATGAATATGGCCCCTCGTGGTCGATTGGTCTGTCGGGGAGCTGATATAAGTTTCTGTCCCCTTATGTAGTCCGATGATTTTCTGTTTGTACAAAAGGGAGCATTGATTTATTTTTGAAGACTTTACTTCGTTCACCCCGGAAATTGCCACCGTGCCAGTACATACTATTCCGTGAGCCAGCGAAGCTATCGTGACGTATAATTCTCAGCACAAGAACAGTGTCTGTCGGCGCGACTCCTGTGCATGTTAATGGTCAATTGAGGATCGACACTAGCTTGGTTATGCATCTATCACTTCAATGGATGCGCTATTGGCATATCGGTTTGTTGAGCGACACCACCTTTCTACAACTAGACATGTGGTACAGCTCAGTGCAACATGGTCTGTCCGCCTAAAGCATCCGCTCTTCAGTTACCTGATCGGCTTCGTCGGATTCTGGGAAGAACTCTGTGTTGCGTCCACGGCTGCCTCCTCCACTCCTCCACTACTCTTTGTACTTCTGCACCATAGGATCGACTCAAGACTTTTCGATTACCGCCAATACGTACACTCTAATTGCGATCGAAGTCTTCCTAGCCGCCTGCGCTTTCGAGTACCATTCGACCTACAGAAACTCGCCATTTACCTAGATCGACATCAATAGCCAGGCAGGCCTCCGTCACTCGACAGGACACGGCGCGATGGCGTCTTCCGTGTATTCCTCGCTGAACACGGCACGCGCTAGAACCTTCGTGCAACGTTTGCCGCTTTTCACCCGCCTCGTAATTCTGATCATTTTTCTGGCTTGGGCTGTAGGATTGCAGTCAACATGGGATATTCGGCAATGGGGGTCACTGGTCCCTGACCAGCTATCATTCACTTCAGGTTTGTTCCTATGTCAACCTTTTGCTATCAGGATACGCCGACTAAGCCTACCACGTGTCGTCTAGCTTATCGGATCAATACCTTTCCTTTTATCCATGTCAATCTTATACATACAATCTTGAATATTCTGGCCCTAACGCCATTGATGGACCGATTTGAATCAGAGTTTGGCACTTTAACCTCGATATCCCTTTTCATCGGCCGTAAGACGACCTCAGGACGACTTGCCGTGGGGACACGACTGACCCGATGCCAGCTCTGACAACTATTCCTGCCGTTGCCTACACCATTATCGAGTTGCTTATCCTCCGACGAAACACTCCGGTCATGGGGGCTAGGTGAGATGCACCAAACTGATGCGACAACACATGCGTGATGCTAACAAACACTCACAGCATCTGGGTCTTCCTCCTCCTTGGTGTCGAAGCCATTCGGACATACAAGACGAACCCTTATCTGACAATTGGCACGTGGAAGATACCGACATGGACAATACCGCTGATCGTAGCTGTCGTGGTCTCAGCTCTTGTACCTGGTACCAGCCTCCTAGGCCATCTATGCAGTCTTGGTGTGGGCTACCTTTGTAAGTCCCCTTGTCTTTCCACGGCTGAAAATTTCACCTGGAAAGTTTGCTGACAAGCCTGACATAGTTGGACTCGGCTATCTAAAGTTTCTTGCACCCCCTGAATGGGCTCTGCGGTGGGTGGAATCGAAGCTGAATCTTCTCGGGCGTCTCCCGCACTACGTCAGCGTGGATCAGAAGACATACGGCCGTTTTGGCTTGTTGCCGTCAGGTGGGCACGCCAGCAATAATGTGCCGATGTCTCTCGTTGGATCATCGCAGCGATTAGGAGCTTAGGCAATCACGAGCACACGACTTGCCACATTCAAGCTGCAATCACAATGTACATAACGACCTTTGTGCTCGGTTATTGTTCCGGATTACATCAGTTTCAGGCTTTTGCGGAGTTGGACATGCTGTGGGATAGATCGTTTTGCTAAATACTTGTTCCTCGGCGCATCCGAGATGGTCGGCATAGTTGGTTGTAGTCTTGTGGCGGATGATCAGTGACTGGACTGGGTCTAATTCACCTGGACTCCGAGCATTGCCGACGGGATGGGGGCGCTTCTATGAGAGGCATCGAAGCCGTGGATCGTGGCATACAATGTAATGTTTTTCTAGTCCACTCGCTAGTAGTTCTGGGTAAGCTCTCGAATGTAGATCGCGTGTTAAGATCCGTGTGTCATTACACCGCTTATAAGCATTTGCTCGTATGGATCTCACATACGGGTCAAAAACGTGGGGCTCGTGTAGGTCTGTCAACGCAGGGAGTAGTAGATGCACGGCAGGCGGGGACCCCTGACCTCCGGAAAGTGGTCTTGCTGGCCTACCTAGGTATCTAGGCATTGAAACACTACGCCAGCTCAACGTGTCGTAGATCTAGAACCGACACCGGATTGAGTACTGGCACCACCGCTATCCCACCTGTCGTTGTTCAAGCGTTACCAAGATTCATCATCATCAACCCTAGTCCTGGACTGCATTGTCTAACACACCTTCATTGAGGCGCAACCTGTCCTTGTGTTCTCGGAGGGAATGCCTCCTAGAGATATACAACATGTCGCGCCTTATCTGTACGTCCACAGGCTTACGTTCCAACAACACCCTTGTGAACCGGCTACACGTTACTGACGCGATTTTTTTTACAGCTTCAGCACTCTCCATCAGACGCGACCCTCGCCTGCTCAAGTTGCCTCCATATCTGTCCCTTCTCTGCATTATTGGAGGGATCGCTTGGCTCTTTCTTCTGCCACTCAACGATTACTCGCGAAGGACGTATATATCCGAGAATGCGTTGCTCCCCGGTCAGGTGCACACTTACTTCGCCGGTAGCGATCAAAATGTCTTCCGAGGATACAAGCACGAGATCGATGGGCTTGCGGGCAAGAGTAATTACGAGTATGGTCCATGCAGCCACATCCACCATACATGTCTTGAGACTAACAGGGTACTGCAGGATTAATAATTACCTGGAAGCCTTGCTTAAAAGCTTTGGAATGAAGGTCGGCCGTCAAAATTACACGTACGAGTCGTCAGGATCTGAGTATGCCGGCGAGAATCTTTACGCTATCCTACAGGCCCCCCGCGGCGACGCTACCGAAGCCATCGTTCTCGTCGCAGCTTGGGAGAACACTGATGGGATTCGCAATACCATGGGGGTGCCGCTTGCATTGACACTGGCGCGTTACTTCAAACGATGGTCATTATGGTCCAAAGACATAATCCTGGTGATGCCACCAGACAGTACAACCGGGACGCAAGCCTGGGTGGATGCTTATCACGACGCCCATGATCCGGCGCGAGTTGCTTCCTTGCCAATCAAATCAGGTGCACTACAGGGTGCTATCGCCATCGATTTCGCACAGGAGCATCGTTTCAAGAACATACACATCGTCTATGACGGAGTGAACGGCCAACTACCCAACCTGGATCTAATTAATGCCGTTAACAGTATCTCCAACGGTCAGATGCATATGCCAACACTGATCCAAAATATGTGGAAACACTCCGACAAGTATAATGACCGCTTACGTACCATGCTTCGTGGGATGCTGAAGCAAGGCTTGGGCTATGCATCTGGTCCCCACAGCAGCTTCATTCCCTATCACGTTGATGCTGTTACACTTCAGCCCTTTGGTGATGGGTGGCAAGATGAAATGGCCATGGGCCGTCTCATTGAAGGCTCGTTCCGTAGCCTGAACAACTTGCTGGAACACCTGCACCAAAGCTTCTTCTTCTACCTGCTTATGAATAAGGATCGCTTCGTCAGCATTGGCACATACCTGCCCAGTGCCATGATTCTTGCTGCAAACTTTAGCATCATGTCAATATTCTTCTGGGTCAAGAGCGGCCACAAGGAGTCTGGACATGGTTCAGAGAAATCCGGGTCAGGCCCTGGTTCAGCCGGCTCAACAACGGTTCAAAGAGAACTCTTCGTACCCCTTTTGGCTGTGACGATAAGCCAGTTCCTAGGGGTCTTTCCCCTCTTCCTCTTCAATCATCTGCCAGCAAACGTAAGACCTACTTCCGTTTCGTGTTCTATTCCAGCTAACCAAATGGCAGCTGCTCTCCGTGGCTTTCTCAGCTTTTGCGGTTCTGAACTGTGTTCTTCCTTCTGTGCTATCCTACATTTTAAAGACAGCATACCAGCCCACTTTGCAGCACTATCAGCTCATCAAATGCTTCTCGCTGCTTCTGCTGGGCATGTTCCTGTCGGCTCTGGCTACGTTGAATTTCTCGCTCGCATTTTTCATTGGGCTGCTTGCCAGTCCTCTGACCTTCATGCAACCATGGCCCAAGAACGACTTAGCCAGATATGCATCTTCGGCACTGTTGCAACTCGTGTCCCCGACGGCAGTGATGCTTTCAGCAACAGCTTTCTTTGGTCTAGATATTGGAGAGGTGTTGCGGAACGCAGCATTTGGATGGAATGTATGGGGGATGTATACGCCTGTAGTCATTTGGTGTGTTTGGTGGCCTGCATGGATCGCGGGGTCGGTGATGGTTCTTGGGCCTACTTCTTGAGAACGGCATAATTCAAGCCTGGCAATGATATCACTTCATAATGCAGTTGCCAGGCTCAGCATTACCACAAGGCGCTACTGTCTTGGTGCGCTGCTCCCACTTGAGATGCCTGAAGCAAAATGCAATTCCACGAGAATGGCCCGCCCATGCCGGACTTTTATTTCGAGGCGTGTCGAAACTCACTCGGCATATGTTTTTATTGTATTGTACATTTTACAATGGTCACGTATGCATCCTGCTGGTACGTTCCGTAGCATCATTTCTATCTGCTTCCTGCTCTCGTCCTAAAACTATGCAGCCCACACATCGCCACCGGCTGCCTCGATCCAGTTGCCCAGTTGATTGACGCTCGAGTCCCACTCCAGCAGACGGTCTCGCATGTTGCCAATCTGCTTCAGGTCCAGCACCTTGGGCTGCACCCAGGTGATGTGGGCCATCCCGTCCACCTGGTCGATTGTGCCCCGGAGAAGTCCCAGGCTGAGCGCCTTCATAATAAGGTGCTCGATTTCGTCAGGGCGCACCTTGGTCTCGCTAGCTATGTCGGCAAAAGTCATGGCGCGGTCGTGCGGTGGCCGGCGGAATATGGTCTCCGTCAATGAGGCGAGATAAATCTTTTGGCGGAGGTGGTCCGCATGCTCATTGAGAAGAGGTGTGGAGGTGATATTGCCGTAGAGCACGTCAAACGCGGCAAGATCGCCCCGGTTGAACGCGAAAAGAAGGTCTCGCAGCCAAGCATTCTTCTTGCTGTCCTTAAGAGCATCGAGAATAGGATGCAGCAGAAGTTCGCCAAAGTTATAAATACTGTCAGAAAGGAGAGCGGCAATGCTCAGGTGGTGAGCGCGGCCATGTCGTTCGTTAACGGATAGCGAGCTGATATCAATGCAGGCCAAGTAGCGGAGGGCGTTGCGGTAGTAGGCGGCAAAGTCCAATTTGCGCTGGTAGTGACCGACGTATTAGTTATCCGGTCACTTTAAAGTCACGCATAGACCATCTCTTACCTGGTAGTAACTGGCGTTTGCATCGTAAAAGGCGGCATGGATAATGGTCTCGACTGAATCAAAGGTATCGAGTATCGTCTCCGCTGCGTCAAGGTCCTTTCGGGCGCCATCAAGATCCTCAAGATCGAGCTTGACCCGCGCTACAGCCACAGACGCATACACAAAGGCATCTTGTGAGTTGGGACGATCTACCTTGGTTGCAACGCCTTGCAAGAAGGCAAGCTTTTCGTCGTCATCTGGTCGCATCGTTTGTCAGCATCACGCTGCAGCTTGCTTCCGACAAGTTATACAACATACCATCGCATTCATCGGCGGCCTTCAGAGCAAGGTCCACGAGCTTCAACTGATTGATCTTGTCGGCAAACTTGAGAATGAATACTTTGTAGAAGTCGAGTCGTTGAGGCGCGCTGCCAGGATGTGTGAAGAACTCGCCCAGTGAGTCCGTTAACTGGTGCCAAAGCTTGCGTTCCCAGTAATCCTCAAACTGGATGATGTTATGTTGGAGCTCTTCGGGAGCCTTGTCGCGCTGCTCGGCAAGAAAATCGGAGATGGTGTCGGCACTCATATTGGCTAGGCTAGAGCTGTAGGCTCTCGTCTTGTCAGGGATAAGTTCGCTCCTGGAAGACGGTGATCGGATGGCGAGTGCAGAGTGCGTGATCTTACGGCGAGGAGACGTCCTCTATAGTAAGTGCAGTTTGCAAAGAGTGGACCAGAATCTGGCGATAACTGTGACGTGTGTGCCAGAGATGCAGTCTTGGGCAGTGGACGCGATTGTCCAGGAAGGTAAGGGAAGGGAGGTAGCAAGTATGTACTGGAGCCAGGTGCGCTCATAGGCGCAGGTACCTTGTCAACGCGGCTGCCGGGAGCCTGGTCGTACCTGACGTGGGGCCTTGGTCGATAGGCAGGCACCTCACTGCCTACCTACCCACCTAAGGTAGGTAGGTAAGGTAGGAAGAAGGTACCTACCTGGTAGAGCTCCGAGTAGCTGGTGGGGTCTCACAAGGTGTCTGCGTGAAATGCACTGTCCCGTCCACAATAACGGCTGAGTCAGCGTTCATTCTCGCCTTTACCAACACGTGACCGTTCATTGGTTCGTGCTCATCAACGAGCCCATGGTTCATGACCCGAAGTGCGCGCATCGTCCCGCGAGCTTTGTGACCGAACTTCAGCATTGCCACCTTCAATTGGGACCGAATTGCCCTTTCTGGCCCTCGCCTGGACTCGAAAATGGCTCCTCTTCAGACCGCCGTGCGGTCGACCCCTAAGGTTGCTCAGAACTTATTGCGAAGGCAGCCGATTTCCGACATTGCAATCACCCGGACTGGCAAACCCATTCTACGAACCCAGGGCGGAAGGTCAGTCATCGAGGTCAATTGAATGCTGGGGAGGGCTTTACTGATTTCTTCGTATAGATCCTCCCTCGGCGGTATGTCCTCGATCTGTTGGCAGGCGCACGATGCCATTCTAACGATTTTCCAGGCCACACAGCCACCGTTTTTGGTGCAACGGGCCAGCTAGGACGGTACATCGTAAACAGATTGGGTAGGATCGCACGCCCTATGTCAACTCATTCTTCGGTCTGACAGCTTTCCAGCTCGCCAAGGATGCACCGTCGTTGTGCCATTCCGCGAAGAGATGGCCAAACGCCATCTCAAGGTTACCGGTGACCTTGGCCGTATCGTCTTTGTTGTATGTTTTCCTTGCAATACCAGTGCATAGCCTGACTGACCTGTGGCAGGAATACGATCTGCGTAACACCGAATCAATTGAGCAGAGCGTCAGGCACTCAGACGTTGTCTACGACCTGGTTGGCCGAAACTATCCCACCAAGTACAATCAACCAGCCACCTGTCCTTATTCACGTCTCGTGCCTTGTTGGCTGACGATTCGCACAGAAACTTCTCGCTTGAGGATGTCCATATCGAGGGTACCAAGCGAATAGTCGATGCCGTGGCCAAGTACGACGTCGACCGTTACATCCACGTCTCTAGTCACAGCGCGAATCTTGACTCGCCTTCCGAATTCTACCGCACCAAGGTTCGTTGATATGTATCGGAGACGGCTGTACGGGTACTGATATGGTATGCAACAGGCTCAGGGCGAGCAAATTGCACGCAGCATTTACCCCGAAACCACCATCGTTCGGCCTGCCCCTCTGTTCGGTTTCGAGGACAACCTTCTTTTGAAGCTTGCTTCCGTTCTGAATCTTCTTACGGCGAACAACATGCGCGAGCGCTTTGCTCCTGTCCACGTAGGTTCTACCTGCCTATCTGCCCTTTCCAATTCTGCAGTGTATCTAACTCGCTCAGTCTATCGACGTTGGTCATGCTCTTGAGCTTATGCTCTACGACGATAACACTGCAGGACAGACTTTCGAGCTCCACGGACCCAAGACGTATGCCATGTCTGAGATCGCGGAAATGGTCGATCGGGAGATTTTTAAGCACCGCCGCCACATCAACGTCCCTAAAAGCCTGCTGAAGCCGATCGCCGGCCTTCTTAACAAGGCCCTTTGGTGGCCTACATTGTCCGCCGACGAGATAGAGCGCGAGTTCATCGATCAGGAAATCGATGACACGGCCAAGACATTTAAGGACCTCGGCATCGAGCCCGGTGATATCAGCAAGTTCACATACCACTACCTGGTCAGTATATCAAGATGCACCAGTCTATAATACCGTGGCTAACCCCCATTGTAGCAAGGGTTCCGTAGCGGCAATTTCTACGATTTGCCGCCTGCGACTGAAAAGGAGAAGAGGGAAGAGCGAAAGTATCTGCATGTTGGCGATGAGCTGTGAGATGTGATTCTCTTTGCGCCCTTGTTGGAGGGTCGTGTAATGGGTGTTCAATTGTAAATAATCGCTCGGTTTAGAGTAGGTATCGCTTCACAAACATGTCTCTTAGTCAACTTGTCTCTATGGAAGAGGCGTCATCGCTTGTTTCATGGCGAAATGCTTGTTCGCGCGCTACAATGCACGGTTTATGAGACTGTCGGTCTCGGGATGTCTGAACGCCTCGGGGATTGGAAGACAGAGCGGACCAAAGGAGCAACAGGAACACAGCGTCATCATGAATGTAGGTCTGACTTCCGAGGGACGAGGATTTGGTAAATCTGTCAATCATCTCGCAAGTGTCGTCGAGTAATGATCTCGCCATATAGAGTAAGACAGATTGTATTATCTTAGTTCAGTTCGAAATGACAAGACTCTGTGCGAAGAGTTATTTGATAAATTCAAAAGGAATAAGTGCATTCTTTGCCTCAAATGCATCGAGTCGCAGGTGTACTGGGTTCGAGCTTTCAGGCTTCAAAAGTCCCACGTTCTTGCCTTATGTAAGTTCGGCCACTGGCTTTCTCCACTCAGGCAACTTCATCTGTCAGACAGGAGGTAACAACACCGGAGTGACTGAATCAAGAGCCCGCGGCCTGCTCTGACGTCTCACCCCGTCAACCTCAAGTACACACAGCGGCAAAATGGATGATTCGGACGACGAACCCATGTATGTGGTATTGCGAATTCTAGGCCAAATCCTGTCAGGAACTGACATTTGCCCCACAGTGCCCTTTCGTCTCACGCACTTGCTGCGCTTGCAGAGTTCAACGCCGAAAAGGATGCGCATCAGAAGCGCTTTGAGGAGCTGAATGCAAAGGCTGAAGAAAATGCGGCAAGGAATGTGCCACTTTCTATGTCTGTTTTTGAAGAGGACTGGAACAAGTCGCAATTCTGGGTATGTGATAGTTGACGGATTGTCGCTACGCAGGATTCTGCTGCACGGCTCAAGAAAGTAGGCTTGGGAGATGGCTAACCGATGAGGCCTACAGTATTCGGACGAAACAGCACTGGCTTATGCTGGTGAGCTTCTTCACGACGCCGACGAGACGGATACAGTTGCCGTCGTCTCAGCTCCCAGCGTCTTCATCGCGTTGAGGAACCTCTTGGCAAGTCACATGTGCAGCATATCGTTCTTGTTGTCGACGAAACATCTGACTATTGTGACCACAGGGCCAGTATGGTCCGGAACAGCCAAAGCCTAAGATTATCCTTTTAGAGCATGATGACCGCTTCAGGATGTTCCCAGAGTTCGTATGGTATGACTTTGCTCACCCTTTCAAGCTCCCAGGTATGAACAACTCCATTTTCCACGAGAAGCCGCTTGCCCTCGGGCTCCTTGTTTGGCTAGAAGCGAACGACACCAGGGCACTGACCTTCGAAAGCCGAGCTCAAAGGAGCGGTTACCCGCATCGTCTGCGATCCGCCATTCTTGAACGAAGACTGCCAAACCAAAGGTATAGTCGTACCCTTTCAAGGAATAGAGACCGAAATTCTTGAAATAGTTACGCAAGTTTCGCTGATTGTGTTCGCAGCTGCTATGACGGTCCGGTGGCTGGCCAGCCCTCGAGTCCCAACTACGGGTCGCGTGATTGTTTCTACTGGCGAACGTATGCGAGACCTCATCGCCAAGGTGTATAGGTCGTTCGGAGTGAAACTGACGACATTCGAACCAAAACACGCGCGAGGGCTCAGCAACGAGTTCTGCTGTTATGCCAGCTACGAGTGTCAGTTGTGGACGTGGCAGCAAATGGCTGAAGGCGGGCAAGAACAGTGATGCGGCGGCATGCATCCATGTGTGATTCGGTATGTGCATGAGACTGCACATGACTTGGAGAACAGTCTGCGAAGATCTCTCCACAAATGTCACTGTTTCATCGTGCAATGGATTACCGCCTGTCCTCCAAACTCCAATACAAACAGATAGCCTGTACCCTGATATGCAATGTTGTGTGCCCTGTCCAACGCCGTGAAATGCCGACTTGTAGTAGTTCTCTCGTGCCTGCTCTATCGCGCAACCATCGGTGATATGCAAAGCATCTAAAGTCTTTGCCCTCACGGGCTGTACCCAAAGAATTTGGGAGTGACTGTGCAAAAGATACGAGCGCGGGGCTCAGGAAAGGGATCTGATGATGTAAAACAGCAAGTATGGTTGTGCACTGAGAACGTCAGACTTTGAGGCCATCTCAACCTTGTGGTCATTGAATTTGAACCACTGATCGGCAACTCGGCAATAAGAAACATAGTGACCTAAATATTTTTATCAGTCACATTTTCACAGCTTTATGAAACGATCGACTACTCACCCGTATCTATTTCGCCAACGTGAACAACAACGCTGAGGAGATCATACGTGCATGACCTCGCCAGCTCAAAGGATTCCTTTGTATCACTTCCCTTGGCTCTGTTGGTATAGGGGAGCATGTTCAGCTGCAAGGGAAAATTGACTGTCGTGTCAATCTTGGACGGAGCCCTGTCGTGGCGTCCTTGCTTGAACTCGAATCGCTACAGTGCGTCTTTAGTAATAGGCCTAGATATTCCTGACCTGTGACCTACATACCTTGAGCTGGATGGCAAGCACATTGGGAAGCCGTTTGATGCTCGTGTTTCGCCTTGCCTGTTGTGTGGAGTCACAGTTGTGGCAGCGATACTCACACTTGTCTGATTTCACGTACTCCTCATCGAGACACTCTTGAAGGGTAAGACTTGGTTGCTTCTGTCCCGTCTTCCTAGCTCGTCGCTGCGCAAGGTTGTCGAGACCCAAGCTGAGGTCGAGAAAGGATTGTACAGCATTAGTGACCCCGCCACAATTCTGACAAGTCGTGGTGCTCTGAAGTTTGCCGTAGAAAGTTTGATGGATGATACAGTTGCAACTATGCTCGCTCCCGATCTCGGGTGGCTTGCCGTCACCATTACGTTCGTGAAGCTCTTCTGCAAGAAACTGGAAGAATTCGTGAGCATCCTGCTCCTTGGTGGTCACGAGATTTTCGAACGCTTTCTTCTCAGATATCCAAAAGCCGGACAAAATACTGGCAGCGGTAAAGCCGTTCGTGTTCTCCACGGCGTAAAAATCCTGAAACATGTCGTCCATGGCGCAACTGAGGCAATTGCTCAAGCTACAATCAGTGCTTTGATGGCCATCGCTAAGATAGAAGTTTCGAAGCAGCGGGTTGTGGAGGAAGCTCTGTAATACGACGTTCTGATAGCATGTAGCACCAGCATTATAAATTCCACGAAGGCCGTTTGCCTTACATGAGGCGATTGTGGTGTTTGTGCTGATGTAGAGAGGGTTGTCCTTTAGGCTTTCCGCGAATAGCTCGTCGTGTTTCCTCTTGCGATCTGGCAGAAGCGCTGCGTTAGCCCTTTGTACGCAGCACATGTTCTATCGGAAAAACGTTGGATATGAAGCTTACTAGAGAACGTGCCAGTGCCCATTTTTCTAACTCTCAGGTCTTCTAAAGTGGGATCCCAGACCAAGTCATCACAAATCTGACAGTAAAGTGTCCCGCTTCTAGAGTCAACATCTTTTGACGTGTTAGCTGCGCAGATGATTATGATGCACAAAACTGGGCGCATATTGTAGGCGAACTTACAAAAGCGATGCTGCTTTTTGTTTCCGTGTTTGAGACGCTCTTCCTCCGAAACAATACTCGAACATTGCAAGCATAGGTAGTTGGCCGTGAGCGACGTTACAGGCTGACCATCATTGTTCTTGGACGTCTGTGGAACCAGGGGAGTTTGTTCAAAGATATTACGGAGAATCATCTTGTAGTGGTGAACAGACTGGTTCGTTGTGTCCTGTGACTGGGACAGCAGCATCTGGACGTGTTCTATGGCCGGTCAGGGATCTCTTCCTGCAGTTATCACGTTTGCATTCCAATTGCTGGTATTGAGGGGCTGAAACTAACCGCAACCAAAGATGGGCATCCCAGGGGCCGGCGACTTGACCCTGGCTGTCTTAGGAGACAGAGGAGTATTTGGCTGGGCAGACATGACTGGACGTCGATTGGCGCTGACCTGGTTGTTGGAGAAGAAGCGAGAAATGTATTGTGTATTTTTTTCAGCGAGCTATTGTGCAGGTGTTCTCTTCTCAATCGCTCGATGCTCTCATTTAGCGATGGCGGGCTGTTGGCCGGTCGTTCGTACTGGTCAAGGAGGCTGGTCGTGAGAAGGGAGGCGTGTGATCGCGACAGCAGGACTCTAAAAGAACCATTCACATCAGTGCTATTCAAGAAACTGCAGTAACAGTCCCGAAGACTCGATAATGACCAACAAAATAATAACTCACCCAGCCAATGGACACGGGACGAGAGAGCGACCGAGGGCAGCAGGAAAAGAGGTAGGACCAGTGAGGGTCAGAATAGAAAGTGGGAAAATGAAACGCTGGTCTTCCGGGCGGTCATTCGACCTCTTGTGTAAGTCTCGCTCGGCTGTGATCAGGCCCAAACAGTATGATGCAAGGAGCCCGCGTAGATATTCTAGACTGAGGGCACCTTGACTCCAGTGATTCCCACGATGTATGGCCGAGCCTGGATGGCGTAGCGGATTGCCAGGGTCCAAGGTTCGCTGACTTGATCTTGCAGATAAGATAACAATCGACTATTAGCCAGTTCAGAGCGCATTCTGGCGGCGCTGAGTCAGCAATGTGGCCTTCTCGTCGTACCCAGGTACCTACCTACCTAGGTTCCCAATGCAGGTGGCACCTCTCCCTGAGGCGACTGACGCCTCTGCAACACCCCGATCGAGAAAGTACGTGTTGGTACAGGGAACAGCGCAGTGGATTTACCTCGGCATCGCCTCCCAGCCTTGGTCATGTCTCTTACGATGCAGCTGTTCACTCCTCGCCTTTTTGCCAAACATGATCAATCTGGGCGTCGCGAAGCAACTAGGCCCTTGACAACACGATCCATCCCATGACGAAGGCGCTTTTGGGCAGGAAACCAGGTCTTCGCACAATATCATCTTGTCTTTTTCATCATCACAACCATACCGTCAGAGGCATGGCAACTCAGTTGGCCGCACTGCCTGCGATTGAACGGCTGAGTCCGGCATGCATTCGCATCCTTGGCGGTAATCCAGGCAAATTCACCCTCCAGGGCACCAACACTTATCTCCTGGGCACAGGAAGGCACCGCATTCTGATCGACACGGGCGAGGGCAAGCCCGCTTGGGCCGAATCAGTCAAGTCTGCACTTGAGGAAGAGAAGGCGTCTATCGAAACTGTGCTTGTCAGTCACTGGCATCATGATCACACCGGAGGCCTAGCCGACATCTTGAGCATCTGCCCGGAGGCTCAAGTCTATAAAAATGAGCCCGAAGATGGGCAACGAAATATCGCCGACGGCCAGACCTTTGGTGTTTCCGGGGCCAGCTTAACAGCGGTGCACTCCCCAGGTCATACTACTGACCATGTGACCTTTGTCTTCCACGAGGAGGACGCCATGTTCACGGCAGATAACGTACTGGGCCACGGCACAGCCGTTTTTGAGAACCTGGGTGTCTATGTTGACAGTCTCGAACGTATGCGTCACATGTTCAAGGGGAGAGTCTATCCCGGACATGGGCCTGTTGTCTCCGAAGGACCGGCCAAGATTATCGAATACATCCGCCATCGCCAGGAAAGGGAGAACCAAGTTTTACGGATGCTACGGACCTCTCATGAGCGGGCTGGTGTCGGCAGTCAATCGGACGACTGGACCGTGATGGAGCTTGTCAAGGTCATATACAAGGACGTCCCCGAAGCCCTGCATGTTCCGGCAAGTGGCGGGGTGTTACAAATCTTGCGCAAACTGGAAGCGGAGGGTCAAGTGGCACAGACGCCAGACGCCGAGAGGTGGATCACGAACGATAAGTCGTCGTTGTGAATAGCTGTCGTGCCACTGCAGGCAACCGAAAGAAACGCAGTGCATCAACAGTTGAATTGACATGTCAGATTACAAGTAAGGCGCACATACATGCCCTTCATGTTAGAGAGGGTCATTTCTGCTTGTGGGTGCGTTCACAGCACGCCGCTCCCTCAAAATGTTCACACGGACATCTCATCATCGCACTCGGCTTCGAGACCTCCCGGTGCATCCGGTGCTACCTGGCTTGGACGGTTCGGATGTCTTACACTGCATCATCGGACTGCATATTATTCCCGAATATTTGAGCGTTTATACTGTGACCATTGTCCATGTCGGATTGCTCGGGGTTTCCATGATAGTAGATATTGCCACAGACGTGTGTCATTGGATGCTATCAGCGTGTGTTCGCGAGGGGCTGACAACCCGCCCATGCTCACGCATACACCAGCCCGTCTTGGCAGTGAGTATGGCTCCTCTCGATGGAGAATGAAAGAAGGCCCAGCCGCGACGACGACGGAACGTTCCCTTTCTGAATACCACTCTACCTACATTAGGTGCCTTAGACAGTGTGGTACTTAGTTAAGGACCATTGCAGAAATCCATTCCCTGTCCTCACACAAAGTTAGCGCCGCTGACGCCTGGCCTGCTGCAGGAGACCCTTTTGTCATGACACCTAACCCGCCATTATTATCTTCACAGTTAACCAGCCCTACGCTTCCACCCGCTTGCCCCCACCCATCACCGTCCACCTCACCGCATCAGGTTCCATGGAATGGCACATGGACCGAATGGAGGTGTCCTAGCATCCGGCCACTGCAAAGACAAGTCTGCCCAGCGGATGCCAGTGGTCGGCACCTATGTTGCCCATATTTTGTCTTCCAGTAAGCATCCCTGTCACATGTCGTATGCTTGGCCTGTAGTACGTAGTCAGACAGAACGAGACTCGTTATCAGTTGCTGGAAACCTTGATCTTGTGAACATCAGCTTCTCATCATTAAGAATATCGCCGGAACCCTCGGGAGCAGCCTGTTGGTTTGCAGTCTCTGATGCCATACCCTTCACTGTGATTAGCCAGGGGGGCCTGTAACCAGACAGAATGCGGTCAAGGCATCTATCCGAATGGCTCACATTGCTCATCTCTTGACCGCTCAAGCCGACTTTCCGATGTGACGCCGCGCGTGACGTCGTCTTGCTTCAGGCATCAAGTCACAGACCCATGAAGTCAGTGGGCAGCACAGGGTAGGTATGGCCTCATGAGCTCCTCATTGATGCAGCTATTGTCCGATACCTCGACCGGATTCGGGCACTATATGAGGTTTCCTCCCATTATATACAGTTGTCGGTCTGGCTCCCTTATTTCTTTGCGCATGAAATTGTCGATTTGTCTTGCCTTGTTGAAAGATCCAGGTCGTCGCTACGTCGTTTGTTTCGCCCGCATGTGCTGCCCAACTCTTCAACACACATCATGTCGAGCCCTATAACTTCACTCATCATTCTCATCCTGTCAAGTATCATCACACCGGCTCTTACTCACGACAACTGCCATGACGCTGCCACGATGAGCGATGGCAGCTCACATACAGAGGCGTTACCTCCAAGTTATTTCAACCTGGCAGACCACGCTGCGGCCATGTATGCGCATATCACGCTCATGGTCATAGCATGGGTGCTTGTGCTTCCTCTTGGTACGTAATTCTTCTTTCGACCTATGTCTTACTAGAAGCGTATGCGTCTGATACAGTATTCAGCTGTAATGCTATCTCTGGTCCGTTCGAGATATACGCTTGCATTGCAATCCGTATTCCTGGCCTTCAACGCGCTGGGCATTCTTGTTGGCGCCGTCTACAATGCTGTGACGCCGGACTTGTACCCCAACAACGCCCATCACAAGGCTGGCTGGGTTTTCACCTGGATTGCTCTGGCGCAGGTTTGTATCGGGCTTTTCGGCCGCACAACGCAGCAGTTCAGGGTTCGCCTACTCGCTCGCGAAGCAAGATCCGATAAAGCACACCAGGCCGTGACTTCTGCGTTTTTTGAGCCCGTGGGGGACAACTGCCAGCATGATGGGCCCCAATGTTCACGAGGTTGCCGTCTATCACACGACAGGGACCAAGGCACGGAGCCCAATACTGGCTCACTGAATGGCGGATCTGACGCTGGTATGTTGGCTCAGGTATCACTGCCTTTGGCAAACCAAGGATGTGAGGACGAAAGTCAAGAGGACCTTGACTCTGCAGATCAACACCCGGTGCGATTCTCATGGAACGCAAGTCGGAACTCCCCACGCTGGTTTCGGTTAATATTGAATTCGCTGTTATCACAGGCCTGGAAATCCTGTTTGGTAATCTATGATGTTCTGGATAGAATCATCTTAATCCTGGGGTTCATCGGATTGACTTCGGGTGCAGCGGTCCACGGGCGTCTATTTGTAAGTGGTGTCTCTTGGACATCCCTGAAGCTAGGGGCAAGAACCAGAACTGATTTTCTACAGGAAGGTCGAGCAATATATGGTGGCATGGCTCACTGGGTCAAGGGCGGTATATTCTTCTGGTTCGGGATCTTCACCTTGGGACGTTGGTCCGGCAGTTTTGGCAAGCTCGGCTGGGTAAGTCATGGCCAGAAATTACAGATAACGAACATGGTAGGCTGACCTCAATGCCATGCAGGCATGGAATGCCCGCACTAGAGAAACACAGGACAAGTGGTATCCCTCTGCTGAACTCGTGGAGAGCGCCCTGATATTCTCCTATGGAGCGACAAATATCTTTCTAGAGCACCTTAGCAGCACGGACAAGACTTGGACACCGCGAGACCTAGAGCATGTGTCCATCACGATTCTGTTCATTGGTGGAGGCCTTGTAAGTCATGATCCTAGCCGCTCTGTACCCTGAGGTCATTTCTCATGGTGCGTCGCTGACAACCTTGTAGCTCGGTATGCTTGTCGAATCGACTCGTTTAAGAGATCTCTTGAATACAACAGGAACGGGGGTTGCTTTTCCTGCCCACGAGACAACACGGATGGACGGAGAACGAACAGAGAAAGAGAAGGCTGCCGAGCCGCCGAAGCATTATGGCTTTTCGATTAATCCCGTCCCTGCCCTTGTCATTCTGTTACTGGGCACGACGATGAGCTCGCATCACCAGAGCACCATGGACTCAACCATGATGCATAAACAATGGGGCAATCTTCTTGCCGGGGCCTCCTTAGCCCGTGGCTTTACTTACGTCTTGGTGTATCTCAAACCGCCGCGATCGATCCTGCCATCGAGGCCACCGACGGAGCTTGTTACTTCATTCTGTCTCATTACCGGAGGTATCATCTTCATGGCGAGCGTATGCAATCACGAATGTTCCCATTCCGACCATATGCTTGGCTAACAAGGTACAGAGCACTGACACTGTCAAGGGGCTGCGTCACTATAATTTGGATGCCATGTTTGCATATACTGTCGTAACCGGCATTGTTGGCTTTTTGATGGCGTGGGTTATCATCGTGCTTGCTGTAAAGGGCGCTGCTGTCCGCCAGCAGAGGAGAGCCCAAAGCTCTGCATGGACGTCTAACGAGCGACAGTATATATGAAAGACACCTTGGGAAATGCTGCGGAGGTCTCGGTCTTTTCTCAGATGGACCGTGATTCCTTCCAATTGATTTGGTTGGTTGTTGCGTAGCTAATTCACACCCTCTTCTTTACTATGACAATCGAACAGAGTGTTGTTTTCATGAGCTGGTTGGCGGCTATGGCCTCGAAGCCAGCCAGACTTGGCGCATCTGACATCGCAATCGGAGGCTTCGTTCCATCGCCGAAAAAGAAGACATGCGAAGAAGGGAGGGTCGCCCAAGCGACCCTAATGTGCCCTTCGGTTTGTCCTTTAGGATGGTTTCAACGACGCATGATTTTTGGAGAGTTGCTGCCGGCACATCGCGGTGATGCCATTGAAGAGTGAGATCCCGATGAAGGCACCGCAGCCGTATTGTGGTTGTGCCCAACTACGACAAAGCTGGCAGCAGCCCGGAATCGGCCATCATTCAAAGTGAGAACACAAAATTTCGCGTCCAAGACGTTGGGAGCCAAGATCAGAAGCCGAGATCAGACGCATTTGTATCCGTAGAGGCCTCATGACCGACCATCGCTCTTCTTGCCTTTTCGCTTCTTACCGCCGCTTTCAGGAACAGTCTCTTTGTCGTCTGCCCTAATCTCCTCCTCGGCCTCCGTGGATCTTACGACCCGCGTCTTGTCAACATCGGAATAGAGAGCCACACCCTGCTGCAGCGCATGAACGAGAAACTGAACTGAGTCTGACTTGAAGTCGTCGGCCTTCCGGGCCTTGTCGAGGTCCTGGGCGAACTCCTGCGTTGTGCGCTGCAGGTAGAAGGTGTCGAACTCTGCGTCTGCTGCGGAGGCCATGGCAGCTGAGTGGTAAAGGAGAAGGCTAATTGATCAAATGTGAGGAATTCGGAGGATGTACGTTCCAGGGACTAAGACATGTGTAAAGAGCGTGCTTAGCAACTACTGAAGTCCGGCGATGGGGTGAAAGAGTTTTTCCCTCGACAATTGCACAGTGTGGGTACACAGTGCATCGACCACGCCAACTACGGCAGTGTGTGCTACACTTCCCTGTCGTATCTCCCAGCACATCTGATGTGTAACAGGGTCAGAGTTGTGGCGTTCAATCCTCAGAAGAAACTAAACATTCAGCCATTGTCCCTTATCAGTCCCGTGCCGTTGATTTTGCTGCGCGAAGCATGAGACTGTGGGATTGTGCATGATGCGCGCAAAAGCCCCGCAAGAAATGTTCTATGAATATCCTCATCCGCCCCGCACCGCATCCCAGGAAAGCATGTGAGACGTTATGATTCTCCTCAGTATGAGCTACAAGCCCGCTGAAAAGCGTGTTGTGACTACCGCCGGGCGTCTATGCTGGCCCTTGCCGACTCGATGCTCGGCCGCATGGAAGAGCTTGAGCTGCGGCGACGCCTTGCGCGTTGCTCGCCTGGGTCTGATGGGTGAAGTCCGGATGATTTGGCAAAGAGGTTTAAGATATCCGTGAGGGATACGACCCCGCTCAGACGCCCTGACAGGTGCGACCCCGGCAACGCAGAGGCCGGCACGCTGTGTTGCTGTTGCGTCGGCAGCGGTGACGGCGGTACCGCACCCGTGGGAGGCACTAGAACAGATGACGAGGGGCCGAGCAAAGGCGTTGCAGGAGCCGATGGCGAAGGTGAAGCCGATTCTACTACCCACATGCGATGAGCATGCGTTGCGACAAGCTTTGCGACAGTGTGAGCTAAAGTTGAGTAGGGGTTTACGTAGAAGACGGGGAATGAGTCGCGTCCGTGTTCCACGCCTCGCTCGCTAAGTATGACTGATATGAAGTGCAGGCAAGATTGCTTGAGGAGAGGAGCGCTGGCGGCATTGGTGAGGTGTTTGACATCGGCTGTTGAAATATTGCCGACAACGTTCCGAGCATTGTCAATAACGGCAACGCTGGTCAAGCCCTCCGTATTCATGAGAGCCAAGGCTTCGGCCAGAATCGTGTCAGAGCTGGCGCATTGAATTAGCAGAGCACAGGCTAGAAAAGACCGATATACCTTGGCCTTTGACCGGGCCACTTACTTTACAGCAATAATCTGCTGGGTTCCAATGGCCAAGTCACGGAGAATGGCAGGGTAGAGTCGGTCGATGGCCGGGAAGTTGATGCCCTCATTCCAGAAGAACTCGACTAATTTGAGCTGGCTCAGCATACCAGCAACATCACCTGATGGCCCACAGACGAGGACCCTATGGATGCCGCTACCGAAAATCTCAATGGCCTTGTCCAATGTCTCATCAAAGGGTAACGTGACCAAGGACTCTTTCCTGCAGATGGGTTGTATATCTTGAAGTGTAATGGGAGTGCCATCCTGGGCCTTGGTGGCAATTTCGTCGAATAGACGGACCTGACCTTCGTCAGGATTGGCAAGGCCAACGACGACTAACAGATAGGCATTCAGATCATTGTAGTCGAATGTGGAGATAGCTGTTGTCGCAGATGCGTTTTGGCGGATGAGGACGGCATTCATAGGAGCATGTTTAACAAGTGTCTGACGAAGTACACAGACAACACGGTCAGCACTCGCAAGCTATCAACGGATATGGGTTGGGGCCGCCGGGGAATTATATACCATAGAGGCCTCCTCAACGCTCGTGTCGAGAGTAGCCCATTTTACGTCCTCGGGTGACACCAGTTCGTTGACCGAGATGTCGCGCCAGTCCCGGCCGGCAAATCGAGGGTTTGAATGCTTGTTCGCAGCAGGCGGGTGGTTCAAGAGCTCCTGCACAGCGGCTTGGGTGAAAGAAGGATGGCGTTGTGATCGGGGGGAGCCAGGGGCGTTTCGCATATTCTCTGCAAAGCTCGAACGGTGACCCGCGGTGTGGGAAGAAGCCTTGGTAATGCTGGACTGCGATGGTGTCCTTTGAATTGCGGTGGGAATGGCGGCCGCAGTCTCCTTCAGCGGACCTGTGCCTGCCCCTGCACCTGAACCTGAAGCTGGCAGGTCCATGGCGCTTTCCTAGTGTTGATATGCCTTCTCAGGGGGAATGGGGTAACGACTCCGTCAATCGCTTCAGATTTTTATTCTGTTACAATTTTCTGTCGAATTCGGTTGTTGAGGTGTTTGGTAACTTTCAAGCGGAGGTCAAGAAGCTATCGACCCTTGGACCTGTGGTGTGACGATCATATGACGAATTCGGTGCAAAGACGCAGGATGTATCACGGAAAGGGGATAAAAAGACAGCGCAAGGGTCTCAATGTAACGTATATGGGTATAAAGCATTCGTATGACTTGTGAGAGTATTGCATGGAGGTCGGGTCAGTCAGGAACCACAACCGTCCGGCTGGACTGGAGGGGGCCCTTGGACGAAGCTTAGGATCAAGCAACCCCTCACCTCAGATCATGCGCCGCTCTCTGAACGAAAACAGCGGGTCCATCTAGCGATAAGACTCTCGACGGAAGGCGGGGTTGCTATCGGTGGCTATGGTAACAGGGTCATCCAGGCGGTGGCAGCTGTCCACGACGGTGCAACCCACTGGACCCCTCCGTTATTTGACTTTCAAGCTGCTATGGATGCACAAGCGGTTGCCCGCCCCATGCCGCCCTTCACAATTCACCCCTCAATTTTTTTTGTTGTTCCCGCCCTGCCATCCTATACCTATTCTCGTCCCTCCCGCTCCATCCTTCATTATCGAGCCTGCGAAACCACAAAAGGCCATTTTCCTTGAGCAGTTTTTCGTTGTACACAACAGCCAACACAGAGAGAGGTCGGCCTGGATCGCTTCTGGCTCGTCGTTTACCTACCCAACTCTTTTGTTGCGTCTCCCAAGCGTCTCCCGACAAACGACGCGACGACCTGACCGACACAACACCGGGACCTACGTATCAGGCACGCCCCCGCCCGAAGGCTAAAGCCAACGTGCTCAACACACAAAGTTATTGGCTTGTCGCGAGCAGCAAAGCCATTCCTGCTCGCCTCGCCTGCTTCATACCACGTCTGTGTGACACATCGTCATCTCGGACTCGGCTGGGGCTTCTACATACATCCGCCTCCGAAATAGCTCGAAGGAAAAAACATCAGCCTCAGCACCACTCGCAGCCATGTCGATCCTCCCCGCTGATGTTCATGCGGAGCTGACCCAGCTTCTGCAAGCTCTCCAGTCTGCCGACAACAACACTCGAGCCCAGGCTGAAGAGCATCTGCAAAACAACTGGACGAACACCCGTCCCGAGATCCTGCTCATGGGCCTTGCTGAGCAAGTTCAGGCCGCATCTGATACTCCGGTTTGTCGAGCCTTCCCCATCGCGACTCCCCACACCAGCCTCACCTGCTAGAGTTTGGAACAACTTTGGCTGACTTGGCCTTTTGTCTTGCAGGTGCGCTCCTTTGCTGCTGTTATCTTTCGCCGAATCGCTTCGAAAACCCGCAAGAATGAGAGGGGCGACTCGGTAGACATGTTCATTTCGTTGGCCACCGACCAGGCTGCTGTCATTCGCCAGAAGCTTCTCGAAACACTTGCAGGCGATTTCGACCGCTCCGTAAGGAATAAAATCAGTGATGCCGTTGCCGAAATCGCTAGGCAATACACGGAGAACAGTAAGGCGCCGATAATGAGAGGGTGTCTCTTTATTCAAGCATTTTGACTGATTTCCCGACAGATGACTCCTGGCCCGAGTTGCTTGGCGCACTCTTTCAGTTGAGCATGGCCCCTGAGGCCGAAAAGCGGGAGACAGCCTTCCGCGTGTTCGCCACGACTCCTAGTGTGATCGAGAAGCAACACGAGGAGGGCGTCATGCAGGCCTTCCAGAAAGGCTTCAAAGACGAGTCGATCCAGGTCCGCTTAGCTGCCATGGAGGCCTTCGCAGCCTTCTTCCGGAGCTTGGGCAAGAAGGCCCAGGCCAAATACTACCCGCTCATTGCCGATGTTCTCAATATTCTACCCCCCATCAAGGAGACACACGACTCTGAAGACCTCAGCGCCGCCCTCGTTGCTCTTATCGACTTGGCCGAAACTGCTCCCAAGATGTTCAAGAGCCTGTTCCGTAACCTTGTGCAGTTTAGCATCTCCGTCATCCAGGACAAGGAGCTCGACAGCCTGTGCCGCCAGAACGCTCTCGAGCTCATGGCCACATTTGCCGACTACGCGCCCTCAATGTGTCGTAAGGATGAGTCCTATACCAACGACATGATCACGCAGTGTCTGAGCCTCATGACGGATCTCGGCGAGGACGACGATGATGCAGCCGAGTGGCTTGATTCCGACGATGTAAGTGCTTGTATTGAAGAGTGTAACACTGGAAAATCCTCTAATACGATTGCGTTTGCAGCTTGACCAAGAAGAGAGCGATCTGAACCACGTCGCAGGAGAGCAATGCATGGACCGTCTTGCCAACAAGCTTGGTGGCCAGACGATTCTCGCCCCGACTTTCAACTGGCTTCCCCGGATGATGACTTCCATGGCGTGGAAGGATAGGCACGCGGCCCTGATGGCCATTTCTGCCATCTCTGAAGGTTGCAGAGACCTCATGATCGGTGAGCTAAGTCAGGTACTCGACCTTGTCATACCTGCCTTGAAGGATCCCCACCCGCGTGTGCGTTGGGCAGGCTGCAACGCGCTTGGACAAATGAGCACCGACTTTGCTCCAAAGATGCAGACTGACTACTATGACCGCGTTCTTACAGCCATCGTACCCGTGCTCGAGTCTCCCAGAGCCCCGCGTTAAATCGCACGCAGCTGCTGCTCTGGTCAACTTTTGCGAAGAGGCCGAGAAGGAGACTCTCGAACCCCATCTCGATGGCTTGCTGTCACACCTGTTCCAACTTCTCCAGAACGACAAGCGCTATGTGCAAGAGCAAGCTCTTTCCACTATCGCCACCATTGCCGATGCTGCAGAGGCTGCCTTCGGCAAGTATTACGACTCTCTGATGCCTCTTCTTGTCAACGTTCTTCAGCGCGATGACGAAAGGGAATTCCGTACCCTTCGCGCCAAGGCCATGGAGTGTGCTACCCTGATTGCGCTGGCTGTCGGCAAGGAGCGTCTTGGGCAAGATGCCATGACCCTTGTTCAACTTTTGGCCAACATTCAGGCCAACATTACGGATGCCGATGACCCCCAGACGCAGTACCTCATGCACTGCTGGGGTCGTATGTGCAGGGTGCTCGGTCACGAGTTTCTGCCTTTCCTCGCCAATGTCATGCCTCCTCTGCTTGAGCTAGCGAGCGCAAAGGCCGACATCCAGCTCTTGGATGACGAGGAGCAGGTAGAGCAGATCCAGCAGGAGGACGGCTGGGAGCTGGTGCCACTCAAGGGTAAGATGATCGGCATCAAGACAAGTACAATGGACGACAAGAACATGGCGATTGAGCTCTTGGTTGTGTATGCCCAGGTACTCGAAGGCCATTTCTCGCCCTACGTTGCCGAAATCATGGAGAAGATTGCTATCCCGGGCCTTTCTTTCTTCTTCCACGACCCCGTCAGATTCGTCTCGGCCAAGTTGGTGCCTCAGCTGCTGGGTTCCTACAAGAAAGCCTACGGCTGCCCTTCAAACGAACTTGCAGGCCTATGGACCGCAACGGTGGACAAGCTGCTGGAAGTCCTCACGGCTGAGCCGGCCATTGACACATTGGCTGAAATGTACCAATGCTTCTACGAATCTGTCGAGGTTGTGGGCAAGGGCTGCCTCAGCGCCGACCACATGTCCAAGTATATCGACTCGGTGCACTCGGCACTCGAGGACTACAAGGATCGCGTAGCACAGCGTGCGGAAGAGAAGGAGGGCGCGACAGCAGACGATGTTGAGGATGAGGCTGAGGAGACGCTGATGGCCATCGAGGATGACCAGACGCTCCTATCAGACATGAACAAGGCGTTCCACGCCATCTTCAAGAATCACGGCGCAGCATTCCTTCCGACTTGGGAACGGCTTATGCCCACGTACGAGGGGTTCCTCAAGTCGACTGATCCTACACAGCGCCAGTGGGGCCTCTGCATCATGGACGACGTGCTGGAATACTGCGGGCCGGAGAGCAGCCGATACGCCAACGTCATCACGCAGCCGCTGATCGACGGCTGCCAGGATGTCTCGCCGGCAATCCGGCAGGCGGCCGCGTATGGCATCGGCGTGGCGGCGCACCGAGGCGGCGCACCCTGGGGCCAGTTCCTCGGGGGGGCGCTGCCGTACCTGTTCCAGGCAACACAAGTGCCAGACGCACGCAACGACGAGAACGTGTATGCAACGGAGAATGCGTCCGCGGCTATTGCCAAGATCCTGCACTACAACGCAAGCCAGGTACCAGATGCGCAGGCCGTCGTAGGCCAGTGGCTCGAGACATTGCCCGTTACCAACGACGAGGAAGCGGCACCGTATGCGTACGCTTACCTTGCAGAGTTGATTGACCAGTGAGTACCCTTCATTGGCAGGCAGAGGGCATCGCAAGGAAGAAATACTGATTTTGAATGACAGGCAAAACCCCGCAGTGATCGGGCAGGCAGGCAAGATGTTTGTCATGATCGCGCAGGCGCTCGAGAGCGATGCGCTTCAGGGGCAGACAGTGACCAGGGTAGTGGCGGCTACCAAAGCGCTGCTCGCCAATGCGGGCGTGGACCCTGCGCCCCTGCTGCAGCAGTTCCCTGCGGAAAGCCAGCAAAGGGTTGCGGCCTACTTCGCGTAGAGTATTGGGAAGACAGCGGGACTCGGACAGTGATGTGATGATACCAGCAGCAAGGTGCAGGAAGATGAATGCACGCTTGAGGTAGGCCGAGCTGATGCCGTTCTTGCAGAGGAGCTGAGCAGAAGTACGCTCGAGCAGGGCAAAGCGACCTGGTAGCAGTAGCTGCACGTCGCTCAACCCAGCTACCTAAGGAAGAAGAGGCGTTCATAATGAATACGAAGCCAAATTACGATGCTGCTGATGCTATCAGGTGCTGTTGGGTACTTCAGGAGGTTGACGACGCAAGACCAACAACGCCCGACACGCCGGACTGATGCCTTCGTCAGCCTGTGCGATGCCGATGAGGCCTCAAGATTGAGTCAGTCGGATAGCAATGGTGAATGTGCAAGTTCGGAGCGCTTGGATGTGAGATGAATACTGCCTTGTTACTTACTACCTTATGCAACTTGCGTGCCCTGACTTGACCTGAGGTACTCTACCTTAAGGTGGGGGGGTTGGTTTCGGGACGGCTTTCGCGGGGTGTCGAGTCGTCTGAAGACACATCCTGGCAGCCATCCTGGAGCATGGCCTCCCAGACCGAAACTCCCCCGAAATTACCTGGCAGCGCTGATTCTTGGTTCGAGGTAATGTACCTGGGTACGTGGACCTTGGTCTCGGGTCGCCAGGGAGGGGCAAGGATTGATTCTGAGATGAGCAAGCCTATGACGACATGATGTCCTGTTTCCGAACTTGTGATTGGACGCTGACCTCGCACGGATATCTTGCAGGCCTCGACATCTGCATTCTTTCTTGTTGTTTCTGGATCTGGGCCTGTTTCTTCCCCAAGGTAGGTCCCTAGAAGGCGGTACTCCCCGTTCGCTGGGACGAGTGCTGTGCTCTGGCGTGGGGTGGGGTGGATGGCTACTGTGATCCGCCCACCCTCGACAGTACACATAGTGCACATGTCTTGGAGGGGCCTGCCTGTCTTGACGGTGAGCGGCATATTCCTTCTCACCACGAGCTCGATGAGCACCCATTTTACGATTCCATGCCTCGGCGTCGATCCTGGGCCTCCTCAGGCCCACCCTCCCCTAGTTCAGGCACCCGGGCCAGCCGCCTTCAAAGAAGAAGGCACCCGAGATACTGTTCCTAGCGTCCTGACCTTCCTACCTACCTAGTAAGGTAGCTTGGGTAGGTACCCAGGTGAATAGGAGGACACTGATCTGCGGCTGGGCTGTGTGCTGGAACAATGATTGTCGTCCGCTCCATTGGATCGAGTCAGCAGAGCCAGATCTGGGTGGGAGTCAAAGCCGAGACGTAAATGGGAGGACAGCATGCACCCGGAACATGGAACATTTGTAAATCCCATGTTCTCTGGCCTACCGTCTCCCCACTGATCGTATTGTGCTTTCACCAGCACGCCGAGTCTGGTAAGCACCACGGCTGAGGGCAACGTATTCCTGCTTAGTACATGCAACTGGAGGTAGGGAGGGAGTGTCCGCCTTTTGCCCCTCCCCGTTCGGCACCCCAAGCGAAATATTCTGCTTTTCGGAGTAGTGAACCAACCATCCATACCTTACCTTACCGGAAGCAAAACCCGACGCCAGAGCCTTTTCCTTCTTCACAAGTCTGTCCGCTCCCCACCTCAGCGCTGTGGTCCCTTGGCCTCCCCCCCCCCCCTTCTCCCGCTGCGTCAGACCTGTCCAGCGTCCCGTCCGCAACACCTGACCGAGAAGAGCGCGACTGACCATCGACTCGGTCGGGAATCTACCGCATCTTCACTCAACTGTCGTCACCAGGCCACACCCCCCCTCCCCTTCGCAATTGCCCATTTACTTTCCCAGTCTCGCTAAATTTCCGATCCCCATTCCGCCCTCTCCAGTCCCATCCATTCCATCCCATTCTCCTCCCCAAACCCGATTCAATCCTATTCCTGTCCCCACCCTACCGACACGATCCCTTCACACGGATTTCAGCTGAACGATCGCATCGTCGGTATCAACAACCATAAGGCGAAAACACTTCGGAGAGCCCAAAAAAAGCCCGTCCGGTCGCTTTGGTACTTGCACCATCATCACCACCTGACTGGGCTCGTGAAGGACGAAGACTTCGGTACAGCCAGATCTGCGACTTCGACGCAATACGCCTCGCACGACATCGATCGCGGCTGAAAGGCCGCAACAGTCCAACCCTGGCTGGCTCCCAGTACTGATGCCCTCAATATGGAGTCCTACTATCAGGCACAGCTCTCCCCCAGGAGATGCAGCATCGCTTGACGCAGCAGTCAACCCAGCATGCCCAGCTTCA